ATATTTATGAATATTTGGCCTGGTGGTTATTTCTTTCATTTGTTTCTCTAATTCATAATTGTGCTTGTTTGCTGTCACATAAATATTGCTTATCATTGTGTTTGCATAATTCTGTAATCTATTTATACAATACTTCTATACTCTTAGCTATTTCTAAATTAATACACAAATAACCCACACATAAGAGGGAGAAAAGTTTGCAACAACATTTTGGTCTGACTTGTACCATTTACAAGTTAAATTGACAGAAGAGAATGAGCAAGCCAATATGTAGGCAAAGGGGGACAGGGATGAGAGAAAGAGAGGAAGAAAAAAGAAGTGGTAGTGGTGGTAATGGAAATAGTAGTAGTGGTAGTAGAAAGTAGGGGGAGTAGTTTTTTGCCACATGTGATAGAAAGGGGAATGAAGAGAGGCAATAGTAGTAGTAATAGTAGTAGAAAATGTAGAAGTAGTCGAAGTGGGATAAATCTAATGACAAGAAAAGGAGTACTGTAGGAGAGCTAAGGGCCCACAGGAGGTAGGACCACAAACACAGAGAAGGGTAAAAACTGAAGGATAGAACACACTAGGCAGAAAAAAAATAAAAAGAAAGAAATAAGGAAAACTAAAAAAGGAGAAAGGTAGGGAGAGAAGAAAGGATCAGGTCAAGTCATGAGTGATCTGAAGTTTGGAATATTTGACAATGTTAGGAGAAAGGCAGGCATCTACAGACACAAAGCCAGGACTGAGATTCATACTAGGAAAACTGTATACAAGGTTTGTGGTCGTATCTTGTGGGCCGTTAGCTCTCCTGTAGTGCTTCATTTTCTTGTCCTTAGACTTACCCCACTTCTACAACTATCACGCCTTTACTACTATTACTACTACTTTTTCTACTACTATTGCCTCCTTTCACTCCCCTTTCCATCTCTTGTGAAAAAAAACTACTCCCCTTACTTTCTACTACTACTACTTCCACTACCAGAATTACCGCTACTACTTTTTCTTCCTCTGTTTCTCTTGTTCCTGTCCCACTTTGCCTATTTTTACTGGCTCACTCATTCTCTTCTGTCAGTGTGACTTGTAAATGGTCCAAGTCAGACTGAAACATCATCATAAACTTTTCTCTCCTATGTGCAGGTTATTGGTGTATTGTTCCAGTTACAGTATTGTGCCTTTATGTTCTTCATTTCTAGATTAACATTAGTTTTCATGTTCCCCTTTTTTAATTGTAGCCACATTCCTGTGTTTTGAATAAACTATGGCCTGTGGGTGGCCTTAACCCTCTCTTGTTTTTAGAGGGAGCTGAAATATTTTTCTTGCAATAGGAAATGCCAAATTTAATAAAATTCTATTAAAATGAAATATGAGACTCCCTATTCTATTAGGTGAAAATCTTGCGATCTTTAGGTCTGGTTTTGCAAGTTGATGAAAACTCCCCTAACTCCTGAATATTTGATATAACACATGTGCAATGCTAGTTTTTTTTTTTTACAGCATGTTGATATACCCATCACACAATTGCAGAACAAACCACATTCACATGTCTGTGTACAGTGGACCCCCGGTTAACGATATTTTTTCACTCCAGAAGTATGTTCAGGTGCCAGTACTGACCGAATTTGTTCCCATAAGGAATATTGTGAAGTAGATTAGTCCATTTCAGACCCCCAAACATACACGTACAAACGCACTTACATAAATACACTTACATAATTGGTCGCATTCGGAGGTGATTGTTATGCGGGGGTCCACTGTATTTCATATACTTAACACTCACTCAAAAATAATTATTGACCCATCAAATAATCTGTTTTCTATTGTTAGAAAAAGTTCGTTCTCAGGTTAAGGTACTTGCATACACTTGTACAACACTATAAGGGATCTAGGTGTATTTCTGCTCTCTCACCACTTTTTTTTTTATAGGCTCTCTTCTTCAAAGCATATGTTTTGCATATCACAACTGGTGTCAGTTGCATCATTTTGATATAATTTTGAACAGTATGTTGAACCACTGTTCTTTATCAGTGAGGAATTGTCTCTCACCATGATGCTGACTTTGTTATATGCATACTTCTGCTTGCTCATTTTACATACATTTTATTTATAGTCTTTTTTGTTTTTGCTTTACTGCCAAGCATTTCCCACCAAGGTAGGGTGACTCAAAGAAAGAACCACATTCATCATCAGTCATTCAATGACTGTCTTGTCAGAAGTAAAGAAACTTCATGGTTAAAATGACTCTTCAACATGAAATATCCGAACCTTTCCTTCAAAGTGCAGGCACTGTATGTTCCACTTCCAGGACTCGGTTCACCTTGTTGCTTTCCCTGAATCTTTCACTGAAGTTTTTTCTTTCATTCCAGATACATGTCAAATATTAAAAAAAAAAAAAAAGATGGAACCACCTTTCTGCACTCTGATCCAACATTCACACATGCTGGATTCTCACGTGCCTACTACTCAAAACTAACTTCAATCCCTCCCTTCAATCTCTCTTTTAATCCCTACTGCAATCCCTCCCTTCAGTCTCTCTTTTAATCCTTCCTTCAATCCTTCCCTCCATTTCTTTCTTCAATCCCTCCCTTCAGTCTCTCCCTTCAAGCCTTTCTTCAGTCCCTCTCTTCAATC